CCACCACATGCACTCAAACACTCAGTGGTGATCGCTTTCTCTATGAAATTTCGAATGACTCCAGAACTAATGTTTCTCAGGGAGTCTCAACTTTAAAGTGCTCTGTCAGCACCCAATTTGACAGAGAGCAAACAACTCTTTCACTCAAACTCAGAGTGGAATCATTAGTCCGGTTAAGTGCTCTGCAAGCACCCAACTTGCCAGTGAGCAGAATAACTCTTTCACTCAAACTCAGAGTGGAATCATTAGTCCAATTAAGTGCTCTGTAAGCACCCAATTTGACAGAGAACAAGTATCATCCTTCACTCAAACTCAGAGTGGGATCATTAGTCCAGTTAAGTGCTCTGTGGGCACGCAATCTGGCGCTGAGTTAAGTACCACCCCCCCACAAACTTTGACTGACAACAACATGGGCTCTGTAGCTGACTTTGTCGCTACCCAAATTAAGGTCCCTAGGTGTTCGAATTCTCCTCTTGGAGCCCCTCAAGTGAGGAACACCCTAGCACTAGGCAACGCCCCAGAGCTGCCTTGGACCCTGAAGCCTGTCCTTTCAACCCCCCTAAAGCAGGCCAGTAAACAGGGAATTCATGGAGCAGGTGCTTGACAAAGCAACTGCCAAGTCTCACTTGCCCAATAATCGTGTGTCTAAATCCGCTATTAAAGGAAAACTCCCCACACAACTGCCTAATATTGACCCCCCTACAGTTACTAAACATGGGCGTGGCCAATTGCCAGAGAACTATAGGTTTCCACTTACCTGGTCCGATGATGACCTGGAACAAACCCTGGAGGATGGCCCACAGCTAAGTGGTCCATCCCTCGAAAATGATGCTCCTTGTGGGCTTTTATCCCACAAGACTACAAAGGATAATCGTCCTAAACATAGCAAGATATCACCTAATGGTGGCGCAATTGCGAAAAATCCTTCTTCTCGAGGTAAAAAGAAAAAGAAGGTCAAAATAATGCCTTCCTCATTTCAGTACAAATTACCCCCTTCTGCTGATCCGGATAATTTGATGCATTCGCCCCGGAAGCCAACTGGCCTTGCTGGGAATCAGATATCGACCCCTCTGACTGGGAAAGATCGTTTGACAGGCGTAATATGCCCAAATGTTATAAGAACCCAGGTGAACTGGATGAGGAGCTAGCTGAAGCTCTTTAAATATTTCCCCTCCAATTACAATCTCTACCCCTTATTGTTGTAAATGGCTATTCCTTCAGTGCCCTGCGTGGCACTGTCCTCTATGCAATCTGTGAGATTGCTATTTCCATTTACATTAAAAGCTTGGTGGTGTTAAACCACTGATTTATTGTAAATATTATTTGTGCCCTGTGAGGCACTATATATCAAATACTTTTCTACTCTTATTCTACAATTCGATGAATTTTTCTAATTTATATCGTTTTTGTAATATTTTACCGTGTTCTCCGAAATAAACAAATCTTTGGTAGGGGAGCACATTACGGTTGAGTCCGCCCGTTAGGTGCAATTCATTAATTTAGATATGTGGGCATGCAACGCCCAGACGTTTGAGGGGTGCCTCCGTCGCCATGTATGTCAAGAAGACATGCTGGTTCACAAAACCATATGTGCTCTCCTACCGGAGTCAATAGCCAAATACCTCGTCATCTAATTAGTGACGCGCATGAATGGATTAACGAGAGTGTGTGGAGTGTTTATCAGTTGAGGAGCTTAGAAAAACACATTTCAAATCCAAGCGTGGACGAGGACCTCCTAATCGAGCACATGGTGCTCAAGTTCTCCTACCGTCCGGCAATGTCCATCCGGACCCGGCTACCAAAACGCTACTGAACGGGGAGAACAACGTTCTTCTTTTTTCTTCAAAGAGTGAAGGTGTGTTTTTGTGTGCTCTCTCCCTTTTTAAGGTGTTTTTAAGGTGTTGTGTATTATTTTCTTCTGAAGGAGCTTAACAAAACACTTCTCTTTTTTTCTCAGTTCTCTTTTTTTCTCAGTTCTCTTTTTTTGCAGTTCTCTTTTTTTCTTCAGTTCTCTTTTTTTCTTCAAGGAGTGAAGACGTCCCTTCTGTGATCCTCTGGATTATCAGTGACTTAGCAGTGACTTAATAGTGATTATTTCTGTTGGAGCTTACCCAAACACTTCCACTTCCTCCAACCCCTGTTTCACTACTGATCTCAGGCTCACCTCAGCTTCTTTCAATTTTGCGGGCCTGCCTATTCTACCTGCCCACGGTGACGTCATTCTACCTCTAGCCACCTCCCAAAATCATCCCTGAAGAAGTGATGCTAGGTCATCTTAGGGACTCCATTCCGGATGGAACTCCCTCGTTGGAAGATCTTATGGTTTCCCTAGGGGCTGCCTATGGCATTCGACCATGGGAACCAAAGGAAAGCACAACTGAGGCCTCATCCAAGAGCAGTGAAACCCCCAAATTCCAATTGGAATTAATTAAAAAGTTCACTGCTATATTATCACCCGCCTTAAAGGAACTCAGGCAGGATTGGCGGAAGGAATTCCTACCACATCTACGGAATATTCTGAAATCCCTTCCCAACACTTGTGGCCAATTGATCGAGTCTTGCCTCAATGCTCTCGAGGAGCAGCGGACAAATTCGAGAAGACGTGGACCACTAACACACACCCAAAGAACCACGCTTAAATATAAAATTAATGTCCCACCAAACCTCCAATTGATCGAAGCCATAATCATTGGGCTCCGTGGATCCAACGACCCATGGCGGATCGTGCTCAATTGCGCGGTAAGGCATAGTGTCATAAACTTCCCCGAAAATCTCCACAACCATCTCTCCGAGCCGCAATCAAGCGATGGAGCAAGAAGGATTTCGGAAAATTGACCCGGGCCATCTTAGACAATGCGCCCGAAGACCTTAATAAATCAGGTATGCCACCAAATTTCATACCCGCTTGGAAGAAGATCTTCGAAGCCCGTCAACTACCGACGACAGAGTCTTCGTTTTTAATGACAATAAAGACCAGTATTCTGACCTTATCGCCACAATCTCTACTGAAGAGGTATTGGCTAGCAACCCCCAAGCTGCTGTCGGATTTAACGAAGCTTAAGAATGCTGCAAACTGGACGCTTGATGAAACCGCGGCCCTAGCCCAGGCTGAGCTGAGCTTGCCTCGCCCGCTCAGCATGGACGAAGAGTTTCTAATTGACCATCTCGTCCAAAGATTTCCTATAGACCTGCCCTGGTCAATCCGCAAACAAGAGGAAGTCGGAAGTATATAAAACCAAAATCGAAGACCTCCGGAAAATGAAGACCTCTGGCGCCACCCTGACGGCTAGCCGACATCTAGTCACAGTCCTCCGTAACGTATATAACAGTGATGAGAGGGCCGCGAGCTTATCTCCGATTCTGGAGGAAATCTCGGAGCGATTTGAAAAGCTCGACAGGAACTCGAGATCCGTCTTCACTCAACCGCGTGTGACGTACGACGAAACCCCTACTCATCCCCGGCAGCCCCCATTCCCCGGCAACTTGATATGGATGCTTCACATTCAATCCCGTCAGCCAGGAAGCCTTGACCGAAATCAAGAAGAAAGTCCTCCATTGAGCCCCGCTGAGAGCTACCCCCCTACCCACACCTCGGCCTTCTACTCCCTCTACTGAGACTGACGCTAACCAGCGTCCAGCAGGGCGAATTCCCTTAGACCCATCGAGCCCCTACCTTCGGAATCGAATGGTGAGGCCTCAGATGGTGCCCTCCTTCCAGCCCTGACCCCGCCAATAATCCCCATGAGCCCAGAAAGCGCCGGAGAGACAAGGAGTCCTCCGGGCGATCCAGGGCTCCCTGAAGAGGCGTGCAAAGCACTCCTCCTCCTCATCTCCCTCCTCTGAAGAGGAGATCATGTCCGCATCTGCCCCACCGGCCTTGACGAGGTCCCGGAGTGGCAAACTTAATGCTCCCAGGATGGCGACCACGACTCCTCCTTCGCCATCCTTCTCGCCCCCCATAGTGGTCTCCACGCGTCAAGGAGACACTCAAATGGTTGCGGGATCACCCAATCGACCACCAACGCAACCCACCTTAGTTTCGGACCCGCTCCCGCCATTAGTGACGGTTGAGCCCTGTCCGGAACCTGACACTGGTTTGACCATTCAGACTGGTGCTAACTCTGGTCCGGCAATACTCCCACCATTGGTAGTGGTTGAGCCAACGCCTGGACCCTCACACAGGCCGGATGTTACTAATTCCACCACACCGGCCTCTCAATTGGCATTAATTGCCGCTGCTCCTACAGTAACCCCTACATACCCCTCTGAGCTGCCCCGCACACCGAATTGGTGAGTCCTACCCCTATGATCATGGGCTCGCCAACACCGTCCTCTCCGCCAACTCCAGAGATGCCGAGTGGACCTATCCCGTGTCCTGCAACGCTCCCACCTCCTAGTGTGGTTGAGCCTGTGCCTGGACCTTCCTCTAGATTCGATCAACCCCCTGATTACTCTCATCTGAGTGACCAGGATAGAATGGAGGCTATCCTAAACGAGTTAAGCTCTCCAGAAGAGCACAATGACCGCCCCCCTAGAGTGAACCTAAGGAAAACCAAACCTAAGGAGAAAACTAGAATTCAACCGCAGCCACAACAGGTGGCTGCCCCCCAACGATCCGAGGAGGAAATGATCGAACCTCCTTGAAGAGTGGATCCCGGACGGTACCCAACCCCTGGGCCCTCTGATCGCCTCGATTGGTGGGGCTATGAACATAGCCCCAAGCCGGTGCGATCCAAGCTGAATGACGAAGCAAAAAAAGGCGTCAGTAAGTTTCAAATTAAATTGGCAGAGAGATTCACCAAAACTATGCTACCTGCCCTGAGATCCCTCATTCCCTCTTGGAGGGAGAACCTGAAGTCTTTTTTAAAGTGCTTCTTCGACGACCGGCTCCGGTGAGGTGTGGAAGGTTATTAATGAATCTCCATACTGCATTGGAGGCCAATACCCGTGGTGGGAGAAGACGTGGTCCCTTCAATCCCGCCCAGATGTCGGTACTACGACACAAACTTATTGTTCCTCCTACCCCAAGACTAATGCTGGATCTAGCTGAGCTTAGTAGGAGCAATAATGATCCTTGGCCCAGGCTGATGCCGGCCATTATAAAATTTAGCGTCACCAATTATCCCCGCCGGGAGAAAACCCCATCCTATAGGGACGCTATTAAGAAGTGGGGAAGGAAGGATTTGGAAGACTGGCTCGTGGCATCATTGATGATGATCTTGCGAGCCTGAACAATTCCGGACTCCCCGAGGAATTTATGGAGCAATGGAAACAGATCTTCCAGGCTCCTAGCACTCCAGACGATCGGGTCATCGTCTCTAAGAACTCCACCGATTCCCTTACTCATTTACTTGAGCCAATTACTTCGGAGGAAGTCCTCAAAGCTATGCCTTCGCACACGGCTGGCCCCGATCCGCTGGGTTGGACTGGTGGTCGTTTCCGCCACGTCGATGCGACGCTTTTAACGCACAGCTACAACAAAACTCTTTTGGAGGGATATGACCCACAGAGCCTTCTGTGCGATCCCTCCTCCGTGGGAGAACTACATTCATTCCAAAAATCTGCCCACCCATCGCCTTCGGTGATTACCGCCCATTACAGTGCTGCCATACGCCACTCGCGTTTTTCATCGGATCCTCGCGAGCGCCTTGCAACCGTCCCCTACTGGGAGGTCAGAAGGGCTTCCGACAGGTGGATGGTGTATCCGAAAACACAATGGTACTGTCCTCCGCCATCCACCATGCCCGTTCCACCAAAAACTGAGCTACACGCTTGTGTAGTGGATATAAGAAAGGCCTTTGACACGGTCTCTCATCACTCTATAACCGTGCTCTCAAAAGGCTGGCCATCCCCCAACGGATTATCGACATAATAATGACACCCTCGCCACTGCCACGACATCCCGCAAGGAAGTACAGAAGCATACTTCGGTTCCGGTATCCTGCAGGGTGACCCACTCTCGGGTGTAATATTCAACTTGGTCATGGATATGGTACTTTCGCAAAACAAAGGTCACTTCCCCCTTCCAGGTTGGCTTGGAGCCACTTGCCGAGTTGGCTTACGCTGACGACCTTGTCCTCATATCGGCCACCCATGATGGGTTAGCCGCCACCCTTGCATCATTCCAGGATGCTCTCTCCTTAACTGGAATGAAATTGAACCTTCAAAAGACCCAATATTTTAACGTTGGTGTCTTTCGAGGTGGAACTACGGTCAACCTTTATGAACATTTACAACTTCCAGGGGCAAATCCTGTCCCTTGCACCCCCATCGAAGAATCATTCCGGTACTTGGGATCCAATTCTCGTCCACGGGTATATGCCGCTT